GCCCAGAAAGTTGTGGAAGTGAATGCATTGGCCAAGGCACTGGCTGGTCATAAAGATGAGGTATTTATTCTTGTGAAAATATGTTATTATATTGATGGCAATCTGTTAAGGTTCAAAATGATCCATCTTATGGTTTTATAGGCTACCTAAAATTAGCATAACACTGATGTTAATTAATTTGGGAACATTTCAACCAGCCACCTCAAGACAGCATATTTGAGTTAGACTAATGTCTGGCTGATTGATGCTACTTAAGTTTTTGTTTATTTCTTGTGTTTTCTTTTGATTTAGATAACACCAATGCTAATATTTCATTTCTCCATTTCAGGCATTCTTCTCTGCAAGTGCTGCTGCCCAGGCTTCAAGGAAGTGCTCCCCAAGGGTTACCAATGAGGCTGTGCAAAAGGCTGTAAGTATTTTGATCAACTGATGAGCTATTTTTATGCCTATTAAGGGACTGCTCTATTGATTCATTTTGTGGTGACCATTAATCACTGTACTTTCTTTTGCAGGCGGCGGCTGTGAACGATTCTGACCACCGCCGTGCAACAAATGTCAGTGCTAGGCTGGATGCTCAGCAGAAGAAGCTTAACCTACCAATCCTCCCCACCACTACCATTGGGTCCTTCCCTCAGACCATAGAACTTAGGAGAGTTCGTCGTGAATACAAGGCTAACAAGTGAGCTGATCTTTAGCTTTTCTTATGTTTCACTTTGTATCCCAATATGATCATTGTGTTGATCAGTCTGTCATGTCCTTGTCAGGATCTCTGAGCAGGATTACATTAAAGCCATTAAGGAGGAAATCAAAAAGGTTGTTGAACTCCAAGAAGAGCTCGATATTGATGTCCTGGTTCATGGAGAGCCTGAGGTCAGTATCCCTCTGCCTTTTAGCCCTGGGAAGAATAGCATCTTGAGTTTATTGAACTAGGCAAGCATCCTAACTTCTGCTGAAAATGGTGCAGAGAAACGATATGGTTGAATACTTTGGTGAACAGTTATCTGGTTTTGCCTTCACTGTTAATGGGTGGGTACAATCTTATGGATCTCGTTGTGTCAAGCCACCAATTATCTATGGTGATGTCAGCCGCCCCAAGCCAATGACTGTCTTCTGGTCATCTACAGCCCAAAGCATGACTGCCCGCCCCATGAAGGGAATGCTTACTGGTCCTGTTACCATCTTGAATTGGTCCTTTGTCAGAAATGACCAACCCAGGTATGCTGGAACAGAACCAATGAAGAAATTGAAAACATAGACAATCTTTGTTGCTTCAGCATTTGGAACCAGCAATCTCTAACATTCAATGTTTGCCACTTTTTCCAGACATGAGACCTGCTACCAGATTGCTTTAGCCATAAAGGATGAAGTGGAGGATCTTGAGAAGGCCGGTATTAATGTCATCCAAATCGATGAGGCTGCCTTGAGAGAAGGATTGCCTCTTAGGAAGTCTGAGCAGGCTTTCTACTTGGACTGGGCCGTCCATTCCTTCAGGATCACCAACTGTGGTGTCCAGGATACCACCCAGGTTTGCATTTGTTTCATTTCTCTATCTATGCCTTTCTGGACCGTCCATTCATATTCTCATTGTCATCATCTTCATACTCTCCACAGATCCACACCCACATGTGCTACTCTAATTTCAACGACATCATCCACTCTATCATAGACATGGATGCTGATGTGATCACCATTGAGAACTCCCGTTCTGACGAGAAGCTCCTCTCAGTTTTCCGTGAGGGAGTAAAGTACGGTGCAGGAATTGGTCCCGGTGTCTATGATATCCACTCTCCAAGAATACCATCAACTGAGGAGATTGCCGACAGAATCAACAAGATGCTCGCTGTTCTTGAGACCAACATCTTGTGGGTTAACCCTGACTGTGGGCTGAAGACCCGCAAGTACGCCGAGGTGAAGCCAGCACTCAAGAACATGGTTGCAGCCGCCAAGCTCCTCCGCACTGAACTTGCCAGTGCCAAGTGAGAAGGCTCATTAGACATTGGAGAATTCATTCATCCCATACCTATATTACTCAGAAGTCAAAAGAAAAGGCAAAAAATGATTTCCGTCTCATCATTTTAATAACTGGCTCATTACCCTGGGGGAAAAGTGGTTTCGCATTTTGTTTCTTTTATAATTGTTTTTCTTTCCCTGTTTTTTTTTTTTTTTTCCTCAGAATATGCCTTCAATCTAATTGAAAGGCTTACAATTGGTTAGTGTATCTCTGTTGGAATGAAACATTGTCATGGTCTGTTTACTCATCCCATCAATTTTTTGTTAGCCTCGTGTTCATGTCAACGTCTAGACTTCAAAATTTATTCCCTCCGTTAAGGTTAAATCGCCTTTTTGGGTGCCTCAACTTTGAATGGAGGGGCCTTCTTAAAAAAAAGAGCAGTACTAGTGGCACTCGCCTCCTGCACTCTCCGGCCAACACTCCCTCTTTCATTGGGCTACGTAAGGTTGTTTAAGCTCTGAAGTGCAACCTCTCGTCGAACTAAAGTAACGTGGCCCAATGAAAGGAGTGTTGGTCGGAGTGTGCAGAAGGCAAGTACCCCTAGCACTGCTCTAAATTTTTTTTTTTTAAATTAAAGATTTAAAGATAATAATTATATTTATTTTTAATATTTTTTTAAAAAATGTAAAAGATAAAAATACATTTTTTATAATTGAATAATTAATTAAAATGAATGAATAATAAAATTAAAGTAAAAAAAATACTAGTTTGTATTAAAAAATATAAAAATAACAATTAAGTTAAAATAAATTTAAGATAAAAATAACATTACTTCAAAATAATAAAAGTAAGTTTTAATTTTTTTAATCCTTCAACTCTTAAAAAGTGATGCATTTTATCCTACTAAAGGATTTTATTTTCTATTGGAAAATTCCGTGGATTTTTTTTTCTTTTTTTGTCATTCAACGGGGGCAGAAACAGAACCGAACCGTGGCTAGGGCCCAACCCAAGGTTCTGCGCCTACAGAAAAGTACATTAGGGGTGAGTTTTTGGATACAGGTCTACGTATTAGTTGTAGGTATTTTATTTGCTCGGTCAAGTATTTTATTTAAATTTTAAAAAATAAGATAAGTAATAGGTATGAAAATCATATATTATAAGTATTAAGTTAAGTAAAAAATATAAAGATTTAGAATTATTTACTTGATCTATTTAAT